CAATGAGATATTGTCAACTGGTTGGTGTTTTCTCGGAATCTGGGATGCACTTTCCTGCATTCTCAGAAGTTAAAATAACGATGGTAGGCCTAACTATGAGAATGATGATGACATAGGCGGTGAAATGGTTTTATGAGTGATGAAAGGATTAATGACATCAAAATAAGCCCATCGAAAAAATTAGACCAGAGCAAAGACGCTATGGTTCTTCCATATTTACGTTAAATTTAATTTATTTTACTAAATAACATCCTTGTGTTAAATTTAATTATTTTACTAAGTAATATTCTTCCGCATAATATAAGAATGTGTGTATGTATGTACTTCTACGAATGGATACCTTCGAAGCAAGAAATCAAGTTGTCTTTACGCAGCTCGTGCATTTTATTCGTGTTGGAAATTTTTAAGCTAAGTTAGGACATCTAAGCACTGAATGTCAGGATGTATTAACCTGTGTAATTCAACATGTCAAACTGATGGATCTAAATCAAAAGTTGAAACGCGGCGTTAAGGCATATTTACACTTCAACGATAACGATAAAAAAGCTAAAAAGCGATTGTTGATATTGAAACAAAAGAAATAAGAGAAGTTTTTCCAATAGAACGATTCGATAACGATTTATCGTGTATACCATAACAAAATATTTTAACAAATCAAATCAAATGACGTCATAATCATGGAAAAACGATAAAATCGTTGCTACTACAACGATTTTAATGTTTTTCCATGATTATGACGTCATCTGATTTGATTTGTCAAAATATGTTGTTATCGCATAACTGATAATCTTTATCGAATCTTTCTAGTGTAAAAACCTCTCTTACTTCTTTTATTTTCTATATGAACAATTGCTTTCCAGCTCTTTTATCGTTATCGTTGAAGTATAGACAAGCCTTTACCGTCCCTAGGGATTAGCGATCGGTTCTATCGAACAGTTTGGACCACTGAATCGAATATTAAAAATCTCATCCGGTGATTGTACCTAAATGATGTGATAAGTATCAGTTTCGGTGAAAATAATAGTCATGATGACGTCACCAAAACTCATCAGGGGATTCTGATTAGATGATTGATGACTGGTGCAGGCACCGAATAGAAGTGTATCAGCATTCACCGAAACTGATCATTTAGGTTGTAAAAATCAAAGCATTTGTTGAGTTAAATGAAGTTGATTAGCAGATTTGGTAGCATAGTTAGGCCCCTAGGGCAAAATTATGTTCATCTCACGGCCAAATAACATCTAAGTATTTGTATAGCCTATGAGATGAATCAACAGAAATTTGATTTTTGCCATGTTGAAATGACAATAAAGCAGTGGCGCATCTAACGGGTGTGGGTGACCACACGTCCTCCAAAATTATTCCCCCCACCCACCCGTCGCTTTCCCAAAAAAAAAAAAAATCACGGACAAGTAGTTAAAAACCACCTAAAATCACCTTATTTTGCGAATTAGTGCCCCTCAACTGATCATCGAGCCCACCCCAACTACTTCAAATTCGCACTACCCCCATCAATACCCCCATTTCAAGACTTCTAGCTACGTTGCAATAAAGGAGTTGTATTGCATCGTATCGCGTTATGATTGCTGCGAAGCAGCCAATTCATATTCTTGACAGCAATTTGACCTCAGAAAGGTCATTGTTTTTGTCAAAAAACAAGGGCCTAAGACGACTGAAAAGCGGAGTTTCCTTCTTTCATTCTGCCGGGTAAAATCAATTGCTTTAGGCGACGTTTGTAGACTAACCAACACGTACCAACGTCCGCATGTCGCGACGCTCGAGTATTACTATTCAGCGTTTTTACTGTATTTGCTGCGAAGCAGCCAATTCATATTCTTGACAGCAATTTGACCTCTGAAAGGTCATTGTTTGTCAAAAAGCAAGACCCTAGACGACTGAAAAGCGGAGTTTCCTTCTTTCGTTCTGCCGTGTAAAATCAATTACTTTAGGCGACGTTTGTAGACTAACCTACAGGTACCAACGTCCGCATGTCGCGACGCTCGAGTATTACTATTCAGCGTTTTTACTATATTTCTAGGTTTCCTATTTCTACGTTTAATCGGCCCATGTCTCAGCCACAATATTTTGAGGCCAGTATTATTACGAACCCAGTTAAACTTATTTACTAGCCTATTTCAGCGTGCTAATTATTACATTTAGGCGACGCTTGTTGTAGACTGGCATACACGGTACCAACGCTCGTTGAACATTATATGCATATGGAAACGTATTATTTGCTCTCCAAGGTCGCCTTAACCATTAGAGAAAACTTGATTTTTTTCACAAAAGTACATTTTTGGTGCAAAATCTATGATTTTCTTGTAATGGCCCAAGTGGATTATGTTGTAAAAAATATTAATCTACCAATTCGTGAAGAAAAAATGTAAAAAATCCCTACAGTTTTGTCGGAATACGCCGATTTATAACAGCTCCTCACGCCAATTTAGATAGGGAATTTCAAGAAATTTCAGGTTTTTGGCTGTTCCGAGCTCGTTTCTTACTCTCTCACTCACATACTATTTCTTTGTTCGAATTGGCCCAAGTGGATTCGTGGAGGGAATTTAATAAGCTTGAAATTGATATAAAACTTAGTATGATTGGTTGGGTAGTTTTATCGGAAAATAAGAAAATATAAAATCCATTCAATCCACGATTGACTCTCGTGGGGTCAAAAAATCTCTCAAGCGTGAAAATCCGATTCACTGGAATGACGTCATACTTCTGTTTGCTTGACTTGTGTTCGCCGTGTTTGACTTCTTTCTTCATATAATTTGGCCTAATTTAGTTATCAGTTGGAATTTTTTTTGTTTTTTTATTACCTTTATTAAATAACAAATGTCCCAAGACAAAATATTTGCAGCAATTAGGCTATATTTATGCCAAAAATGCAATTTATAGTCTGGACCGTTTGAAAATTTTAGTAAGGGTGTAGGGTGGGCTAAGGCAATCCCGCCAACACGAAAGCGTAGACTAGGGGAAGAAAGATCTCAACATTTGTTTACTTCACATTCTACTATGTGTACTGTTAAATATCTGTTCAAATACAAGTTTTAACAAAATAATATTGAATGTGGAATTTCATGAAAATGAAACAAACCCAATGTTTTTAATTGGTCGATACAAATTACTTGTACAGCAGGGTTCATTTGACCTCAGTTCGCTGCTTTCGTGATAGCTTGACTAGCAAATGGTAAAAAGTGGCAAAAACGTTTCCATATGAGTTGTACTTTGCAGAACTTGCAATTTCTAGTTCTAGGTTTCCTATTTCTACGTTTAATCGGCCCATGTCTCAGCCACAATATTTTGAGGCCAATTACGAACCCAGTTAAACTTATTTAATAGCCTATTTCAGCGTGCTAATTATTACATTTAGGCGACGCTTGTTGTAGACTGGCATACGGTACAAACGCTCGTTGAACATTATATGTAGTTGTACTTCGCAGCACTTCACTTGCAATTTGCAATTTCTAGTCCATAGACTATGCGATACTGTGGACGAAGCTCCTGCTGACTACAAAGAATTTTGAAGGTTTTGGCATTTTCAAATTATAATAGGACAATACATTTATTATAAGTATTGCAACATAAAACTCATTGATTTAATATTTTGCTAAAAGAATACCCTGTATTTACCTCTTTCTTGATTATCGATGATCTTATTTCTTGCTTGTGTAAAATCATCACAAAACAAATGTAGTGGTTTCAAAATTTGTCCAACAGCTGTTGAAGGGCGCTGTCCCAGACTCTCTTGAGGTTTCCAGGGTGCCGAAGATATACTGGATGTTGTATAACATCCAGTATTGAAGATTGGTAAAATCCAGTGTTTAAACTCATGGGCGGATCCTGGGGGTGGGGTAGGCATGCCCTTCCCCCCCCCCCAAAAAAAAGAAGAGAGAGGGAGAGAAAGAGAGAGAAAGGGGGGGGGGGGAAGAAAAAGAGAAAAGGTATCTCGACATATTATTTACTACAATATTTTTGTTTTTGTTGATTACGCTGGCGCGCATCAACAAGGCTCGTAAGGTGTGCTGCCATTCGCGCGCATATATGGCTACCATCTTTGTAACGTTTCGTTCGTTGTTTAGTAAAGCAGTAATGAAGACAAGATAATATAATTATGGTAGAGTTGTTTATTCAGTCTAAGCAATGCAGCAAGTGAAGTCACACCTTGAATCATAGCCATAAAATATGTAATAGTATATCATTACTCATGCTTTGGTATGTAGGGTACTGGTTAGGATAGGTTGTCATGGTAATTGAAAAGGAATCTGAATAGGACTTATAACCTTCACTTATTGCCTTATACAGTAGTTTCAATCACTATATTTATTGTATACTGGATATCATTACATCTTCCTTCTTTTGAAATTAAAATATTTTATTTTACTACAGTTCATGCAATTGAGTTTATAGGAGTATTATACTTAATTATTATTTATTTATTTGTGATTAATATTTAATTATATAATTACAGTGCAATAATATGCCTATAATAAGTTTGTAAACGGTTGTCTATATACATGACGTTTAGTTAGTAACGTAGTCATCCAAGCATGCTGGTCGTCGAGTCTGTCGTTTTGGTCTATTATATGTATTTCGGTCATTTCTGTCATTAAATGACAGAAATTTTGTAGTAGGTGTGTCATCGTCTGATTCATCGTCGTCATTAGCATATCTGTCGATTGATGGTATTGGCATGATATGCCTTCTATTTCGTCTATACATATCGTTTCCACATTTTACAAGATAAGATCTATGTGGCAGTGATTTATGTATTATGCCAATTTTGTTCCACAACTTAGACATTGTAGATAGATTCTAACTTTCTGTCCATATTTAAGAGTTTCTAGAGTTTTAGAATGTTTGTTATAGTTGCGCACTTGTTTGTGCTTCAGTTCATCCTTCTTTATATTGATAATCTTTGGTTTAAGTGCAGACTTATTAACCGGAAGGATTGATCTGATTTTTCTAGAAAACATCATTTCTGCTGGGCTAAGCCCATGTCAAGTGGTGTAGCACGATAGACTTGCAATGCTAGCTATGTAAATTTCTTCCTTAGTTTCCGTGCATTTTTTGATCATCGCTTTAACAATTTTAACTGCATTCTCAGCCTGACCATTAGATTGAGCAAAATGTGGACTTGATGTCGTTTGGTTGATGTTCCAGTCATTGGTGAATTTCTGGAATTCTTCACTGGCAAATTGAGGGCCATTGTCAGACATAAGAAACATTGGCGTACCATGCACTGCAAACCAGGATTTCAGTATGTTTATCACGGCTGTTGAAGATGAGCTCCTTAGTTGACCAATTTCGATGAATTGCGAGTAGTAATCTACACCAACAATGTAATTGTTATTTTCGATAGTGAAGAGATCGATTCCAACTTTTTGCCATGTTTGATTACTGTTGCCTGGATATGTCATTGGTTCTTTGGGTTGCATGGGTTGATGTTTCTGGCAGGTTGGACATGACTTTATGCTTTTTTCAATGTCCATGTTTATTTTTGGCCAGAATATGACCTGTCTGGCTCGTCTCCTGCATTTTTCAATTCCTTGATGTCCAGTGTGTAATTTACTGAGCATTTCATTTCTCATGTTGTCAGGTATTATGATTCGGTCACCTTTGAATACTAGATCACCTTTAACTGGCAGTAATTCCAGTAATCTCTCGTCCTCTATCTCCTATGTATGTCATTAAATAGTTGACTTTTTGGATTTCTGT